AGTGTGCACCTCTGTGTCTGTCCGCGGCTCATCTCTAATTCTGCAGCAGCAAATTGCATCATATTGTGTGTGTCCAGATGTTGATGCTCAAGAACCTCTGGTGGTGTATCCATCTAGCCGCTGACAGGACTACTGCAGTCACACTCCCTCATTGTTTTTATAATTCTGATACTTTTGTAATGTATTTATCTATTTTATAGTATTGTGTTGTACAGTGTTGTACAGTGTAGTACTTTAGTGTTTGCTGTAGGATTGCACTGATAATATTCGGCCACTAAAACTGTAATAAGCTGCCCAGAGACTACCGATGAAAGTTAGCTCTCCAGCTAACGCTGACACGTTTACATTGAGGGGGAAACTGAAATGTTTGAGTGTTCGGATCGGACCTTTTGGCAGGCAGAACTTCCTCACAACAGGAACAGAAAACCAATAACATTAAAAGCTGGTTCTGGTCCAGTGAGCCATAAAGCTGTCAAATCTAACGATTGCTCATATTTCTGTTTCTGACGTATCGAAGTTCTTACATCCGTGTTCCTGCAGCTGACTCATCATCCACAATTATTTTTAAGTATTTCCAGCTCATCCATTTACTGCCTTTGCTCTGTGAGTCATGAAACACAACTCAAATACCTTCTGTCTCCTGTGTGAACATGAGAACACACATCTCAGTTATTACGAAATAAAATACATCTTCCTGCAGCACCTACTGTGTATTATTAGTTCATGTAAGTTGAAGTGAGCGTAACCTTTGTCAGTGAATTCGTTTGTTGAGTAGCTTTTATGGTTCCAGCTTCTCACTCTTCAGGTTTTGCTTCTTTGTTTTATATCAATTTGAATTCTTCACTTTTGAGCTTCAGGAAACTGTGATCGGATTTTTCACTAATTCTCCGGGATTAATAGAGAAAATAATCAATAATACAGAGATTTATTGATAATAAAAACAGTTCATCCACTAGTTATGTGGCATTGCATTATATATACTTCATTTTTTATTTGTTTGTGTGTGTGATAAAGTGAAACATGTTTTTATTTTATTTGTGTTTTAATGAAATGTGCACATTCCCTAGTGATATAGTGATACTAGTGATACTAATGATATAGTGATACTAGTGATACTGGTGATATAGTGATACTAATAATATAGTGATACTAGTGATACTGGTGATACTAATGATATAGTGATACTAGTGATACTAATGATATAGTGATACTAGTGATACTAGTGATATAGTGATACTAGTGATACTAATGATATAGTGATACTAATGATATAGTGATACTAGTGATACTAATGATATAGTGATACTAGTGATACGAGTGATATACTGATACTAGTGATATAGTGATACTAATGATATAGTGATACTAGTGATACTGGTGATTTAGTGATACTAGTGATACTAGTGATACTGGTGATATAGTGATACTAGTGATATAGTGATACTAGTGATACTGGTGATTTAGTGATACTAGTGATATAGTGATACTAGTGATACTAGTGATACTGGTGATATAGTGATACTAGTGATATAGTGATACTAGTGATACTAGTGATACTAGTGATCCTGGTGATATAGTGATACTAGTGATACTGGTGATATAGTGATACTAGTGATATAGTGATACTAGTGATACTGGTGATATAGTGATACTAATGATATAGTGATACTAGTGATACTAGTGATACTAGTGATACTGGTGATATAGTGATACTAATGATATAGTGATACTAGTGATACTAATGATATAGTGATACTAGTGATATAGTGATACTAATGATATAGTGATACTAGTGATACTGGTGATATAGTGATACTAGTGATATAGTGATACTAGTGATCCTGGTGATATAGTGATACTAGTGATATAGTGATACTAGTGATCCTGGTGATATAGTGATACTAGTGATATAGTGATACTAGTGATATAGTGATACTAGTGATACTGGTGATATAGTGATACTAATGATATAGTGATACTAGTGATACTAGTGATATAGTGATACTAGTGATACTGGTGATATAGTGATACTAATGATATAGTGATACTAGTGATACTA